AGGACCGCTTGGGTGACTGTCCACGGCCAGAGCAGGTGTCGGGAGCGCGTCGGCACAGGGAGCCCCCGGCGCGCCCGCCCGCTCACCGTCGACGAGGGTGGGCTGAGCTGGCCGCACCTGCCCTGGGACCCACCCCGCGGCCCGGGAAGCCCTGGGGCGCTGTGTGGAGGCCGCGTGCTGTGAAGGGTCGGCGTCACCATGCGATCTTCGGGACCTGCGTTGTGCTCATCTGACTTCCTCCTGTCTTTCGTTCTTGTTTCTCGTGGTAACATTACAGCGGCCTGCATCGTTTTGCTTAGTGTCACACGTTCCATTCATCGCTGGAATGTTGGCGATAACACAGGCAGGAGATGCCGTCATGAGCTGTTGCTTTTCTTCCTTCCAGGGCCTGGAGAGCCCTTCCTTTTAGGAAAGTACGCAGTGCAACTTCTTTACTAGTGTTACATGGATTATATATTTTTTAAAATGAAAAATTTGAGAGTATCACTTACTATCACCAGCATCACTGTTACAATAATTGATCAAATACACTCGAGGAAACCCGATCAGTGTCTAGTGGAAGGGTTATTCTCTCGCTGCAGAGTCAACCCTTAGTAATATATAGATGGTTTTAAAGATCCCAGCTCTGGGAATGCTCTGCATCTAAAAGCAAGTGTTTGAATTCTAAGCATGAATTATCCCAGGTAAATGAAGATATTTTAGTAATAGGAAAGATACCTTTATGGAAGCCGTCTGTTGTACCAGTAACTGGGCCTGCGGCTTGGGGGTGGGGGTTGGGGGTTGGGGGGTGTCTCCACAGCTTTTCTTAGATGACTACTGAGCTGTTACTGTTAAGAAACGCCCCATCTCATTTCCATCAAGGAAAAAAAGTTTCATACGGTTTTCATCCATTAGCAACGTTCATTTTATTTTGAAATATATGTTAGTTTTAGAAGTTTAATCTTGAGTTCTGGTGCCCACATATTTTTATCAAGCCCCCCGACCCCCCACCCAGCTTTGTTGTTTTTGGAGTGAGTTTCCAGATATGTAAACATATGTTTTCTTAAATGATAATTTCACTATTCATGAGGGAGGTTTCTGTTAAGAATATATTCGAAGACTGATTTTTTTCATATCAGCTCTCTGTTGACCTTGGCAAAATGTACAGTAGATTTTCATGATCATTGCCTATTTGTTGTCATTGAAATGTGTCTTTTGTGTTTTTAAATGCATTTATTTTACAGTCCTGACTTTATTATTGACTTTAAATAAAGAAATAGAAATAAAAAATGAAATTTTAAGTGAAAGCCCTTTTATCTGTTAATGGGAATATATCAGAATGATTAAGAATATTTTGGGTGTTTATTTTTTAATGAATCATGTTATATTTGTGGATAATTATGCTTTATATGTGGAGAGTAGCAAATAAAGATGAAGTAAAATTAACTGAAAATGATGAGCACTGTATTCATGGAATTTTTACACCAGAGTAAGATAGAGGAAGTCACCAAATCTAGCCCTTTATTTTGCGGTGAGGCAGGAGGCCTGGGGTGGGAGCGTGACCTTCCTGAGTCATGCCGCTAGTTGGAGACGGCCTGCTGTGGCACCAGGAGTCTGCTCGATCCCAGGAGCTGGTCAGCAGCCCCGCGACTGCCGGGAAGATACTCTAGATCTGTACTGCTTGTTGGTCAATATATCTGGTTCTAGTATTAATAAAGAAAATGTCATTAAAGTAGCATACACAGTAGCTAAAATAAAACACAAAAAATGTAAGTCTTGGTTTCTAGCTGTTTGAGAGGACGAAAGTGAAGCAAAACCTGTTAACTTTTGGGAAAATCTTGGACAATTATTTTAAATAAACAGTTGCATTTAATTAAGCCTCATTCTCCAGTGGCCTGCCTTTTCTTTTTCTCTTCTTTTTAAATGTAGAAAATGTCGGTTCACCTTTGGACGCCTGCCGAGCTAGGATGTAAGTGGTCCGTGTTCGGACCTCCCATTTCCTCTTGACCATTGCCACCTCTGAAGGTTAAGATTTATTTTTATGAAATATTTAAGCAGATACGAAGGCTAGTTAGGGCCTCCAGTGTCATGCAGACTAGAAGTGGTGAACAAGAGCAAGCGTACTTCTTGTTTTAGTCCCCCTAAATCGTCATTTTTAACAAATGCTTGATGTGTTTAAAAAGAGTATGTATTATGCAGCTCAGCATGGTGCTCTGTGTCAGCTACACCAAGTCTAACACGGGCCCACGCAGGCTCAAGCAAGTGCTTCGTGTGCACGCTGCAGCGCATGTGGGGTTTTGGCAGAACCCTTGTCGTCCTCGGTGTTGCTGTGTGTACTCTGATGTGATGACACCGCAGGACACTGTGTGGGAACCCTCTGCACCCTTTGCTTTAAAGTCTGTTTGGTTTGATGCCCACGTGGCAGTTTCGTTTTGGTTAGTGGTCACCTAGTTCATTTTTTAAACTTGATTTTCAACCTTTTCTGTATCTTTAAGGTGTGTCTCTTTCTAACTTTACAAAGCTGAGTTTCTTAAAAAAATTTTTTGAATGTTTGAATTTTACGTGAAGCATTTCATCCATTTACATTCATTTAAAAATATTTTATACAGAATGATGTTTTGTGGTATCCTTTTAAACATGTTTTTGTTTTTTCTCCTTTTTTTAGGATTGATTATTGTTTCTCCTTTTTTTTTGTCTGTTAGTCTTTTTTCTGCTTTTAGTGCTCTTGACATTTTAACATACTCCCCTAACGTTTCAAAGTCTCAAGTTATTCGCCCCCACACACAAGACACTTCAGAACTCTTCCCTCTGATGTCCTTACCGCAACTACGTGCGGTGTAAGCCCCTGTCCCACCATCTCCATCGCTCTGTGATCCGTGCTTGGTTAGCTTTACTCCCACGTGTGTGCTTTTTTGCTCATTAATTTCTGACTGAATCTTAGAGCATCTCAATTTCCTTTTGTTTTTGTTTCTTTTAGTGAATACATAAACAAAAAATAAATACTTGTATAAATTAAAATCATTCTTGTTCATGGAGATGGAGTTTCTTCTGATTTGTGTATTAAAAAAACACGACACATTTAATTAAAAGTTGCAACATTTTGCCAAAAGAGGGCAGTGTTCACCTACAGTAGGATGTAAGCCGACCGCAAAATGACAAAGAAGGGAGAGAATTTGTCTTTCCTCATAAGGCTGATAGAACCGGACGTAACTAGCTGTCCACGGGCTGCCCTGGGCTCCCAGGCTGGTCACATGGGACTGTTGCCTAAATGGACCACCCAAGTTCTCCTCCGTGTATCTGTTTTACATTTTTTTAAAGTTGTGTTTTAGTGATGAGAGTTGTTTGAAAATTTAAGTCTTTAAAGATAGAACCAAAACCCTTAAGTACCTGCTGACAGTGCACGCCTAACCGCAAGAAGCCAGCCGTTTCCAGCAATGTCCCCGACGGGGCCGCCCGCCCCCTGCCCCGAGCTCGTGACCGCCGCGCCTGCCGCCGCCGGGAAGGGTCCAGCGAGCGCGGGATCACGGCCGCCGCCGACACGCGTCTGGGGCGCGTCTGCTG